TATAGTATATATATATATATATAGATATATATATATATATATATATATAGATATATATATATATTAGATTATTAGAAATAAACCCCAATTTTTCAAAGCCTCATCCATACCCCTTTTCATCATTTTTCGTATTTTTGTGACTAAAATACCCTTCACAGAATATTAAGTCCGTAAAAGCATCACACTTCTTTAAATGTCGTGATGCTTCAAGTGACCATCACGGTTCTTTAAGTGTCGTGATGCTTCATGTGACTATCATAGTTCTTCAAGTGTCGTGATGCTTCATGTGACTATCACAGTTCTTCAAGTGTCATGATGCTTCAAATGACCATCAAGGTTCTGTAAGTATCATGATGCTTCATGTGAATCACAGTTCTTTAAATACCGTAATACTTCAAGTGACCATTGTGGTTCTTGAAGTGTTATGATACTTCAAGTGACCATCGCGATTTTTTAAGTGCCATGATGCTTCAAGTGACCATGTACTGGTTCAAAAATCCATCACGATTCTTTAAGTGTCGATGTATTCGCTTGGAACCCGCTATGACCATCATAGTTCTTGGTCGATTGTGATGCCTTCACAGATCTAAGACCACCGTGAAGGGTATTCTCATCAAAAGACGCAAACAGTGGAAAAAATAAGTACGGTTGAAGTTCTGAAAATTTCGAGGTTTATTAAAAAAAGGTATGTTTTTTTATAATTTCCCTAAAAATTACTATTTTCACATGTCATTTCACCTTTATGCGGATGGGCCAGAAACTTGAAATGTCCGGACTCTGGAGTCAGTTCAATTCAAAATTGACTACTTTACACCCCCGGACATTTTAACTTTTTCTCATCTTGTGTTTTCAAACGCTGGTATGGAACCTATACTGGCCTTCCGGGAACTGTCCTGACATTTTTTTCAGTTAGCACATCCTATATTTCAATACGAAAATTAAAGTTATCATAGACAAACCTCATAAAGGAGAAGATTTGCAAATGTTTCAACAAGAGGTGCTTTGCTTGGATTCAGCTGTGGAACCAAGACATCAGTTAAACAAACATAGCATTTGAAATTAGTTACATAAACATCAGGGACAATGCTATTGTCAAAGGGAATCTACCTGTAGCATCACAGCAAGGTTTTGGGCAGTTGGCATGGCACTCACTACCTGTGTATAAGTAGAAACCATTTGATTCATTTTCTTCTAAAAAAAAATAAACTATATTAATAATTTCAAACCAGGGAAAAACTGAGTGAAACACCAGGTTGCCCTCATAAAAAATAACAATTTATGCAGGGACACTGTTCAACAACTAATGACAAGATAATTTAACTTCCAAGTCAACTTCATTTTATATAGAAGAAACTAGATTTTTATTTACTTTGTAAAAACAACGAAACGAACTGGATATGCAGCAGGCAAAATCAACATAGTTTCATGATGGTTTAGTCAAATATTGGAAATGAATGACAAAATCTGGGTAACTTCACCATAGTTTAAAGTCAAGGAAGTTGGAATTTATCAAAAGACGAAGGTAGTTTCAAACACAAACACAAACCCAAACATGCATGTGTCAGTGTATTGTCCAATTTCAGCTAAACCTTTATAGGGTTGCTTCATGCCGCATGGTACCACACAGTTCAATGGTCATATTCATGGCACATGCTCTGTTTTAAATCAGATGTGGGTAAAGAAACAGTCCATTAAAATGCCAGACATTAAACGTCTTCAAAAGTGATGCATGTCCAAGCAGAGCTTGTGACGAAAAGCTGCATTACTTGCTCACGACAGACCAATAATAGCATGAGAGACTCAATATTTATAGTACTCACCAATACTGTGAACACTAAAATTGTATTCTTTGGTAGCAAGCCCATATGCAACAAGCCCTGTGAAGGATACAAGATAGAATGGTGGGACTAATCCATAATGACATCAAAGGAAACAGTAGCATTTAAAGATATATGAATTTGAAGGTTTTAATTCTTACCTTAACTAGGAATAGAATGGCAAACGGTATTCCAATAAGACGGATGCATATAATTGCCCAAAATATGTGCTTATCAAGAACTATAGTATATCCCTTTTCTCTATTAAATTCTCCAGACTCTGTTTCAGTTTCATATGCAGCACCTTTTCTTAGGCCAAAGTCTGAGATAAGAGGTCCAATGGCACAAGCCAGTATAATTGTCTGAACAGTAGCCGTTGCTGACCCCAATAACGATGATGCCTGAGAGATAAATAGTACATAAAGGTACAAGCTCATTCATAAGAACATAATATTGGTCAAAGTTGAGATAGATGTCTATTTCAAGATGGAGAAGAACAGAATTTAATCTCAGCAATAGAATTCTACTTTGGGAAAGCATACCATAATGCTGACGAATGGAAAACCATTGTTTTTAGGTCCCTCATTGTCCCTTGAAGTGATGGACAGTAGCAGAGAGATGGTAGGACCACCAAAACAGGATATTTTCTGCTTGTTTGTAACACTACATAAAATAATGTCTACTTATTTGCACTTTGTAGGGCATTGCCAAGTTTTAATGATGTTATTTCTGCTTTTTCAAGATAAGATGAAAGGGAGTAAACTTAGGTAGGATGGCCATGTGTGGGGCCGACCCAGTACAACATCTGTTACGAGGTGCGAGTTAGTTCAAGTGGAAGGATTGAAAAGGCAAGGGGTAGGCCCAAAAGGACGTGGTTGAAAGTAGTCCGAAAAGATATGGAGACTTATGATGTCACTGAGGGTATGACCTTTAATAGAGCATAATGGAGGACCAGGATTCGTGAAGCCGATCCCAATTAATTGAAAATAAACTATAATGATGATCATGATGATTTCTGCTTTTTTATTCTTTGCCTCCCTATCCCCAATTTATATGGCTGTAATTTTAAAGTTTTTTCCTAATTATTTCCAAGAGACTACTGAAAATGTTTTCTTAACAGACATCAGATGCAACATCGATGCTTATACAACAGCTTCAGTGTGGTGGATTGAAGTCATGTTATTAGCTTATGACTTTTAGAATACTTCGAAAGTTTAACCATAAGACACTTCAATAATAACATCATTTTATTTTATTTTTTATTTTTATTTTTATTTTTATTGTTTTGCTACTTTAAATAGTTGATTGCAATCTTACATGATACAATATGAACATATGATCTCCCATTCATTTATCTTTCTGTACAGAAATCAGAGCATACCTCCATGATAGATTGGCAGAACAAAACCAGACCTTCGTGGAGAACTCTAAAGCCTTCACATGATTGGTGAATATCGAGAAACTTTCCCTTGTAAGGATAGAAAAAATATGAAATTGGTGTTGCCCCAATAACCAGTCCAATCAAAGTCTGGAGACACAAGTCAAATGTGAATCGCATGTACATTCAGGTGATAAAACTGGAAATTAAAAGTAGCAAGGTTTTTCATACCCCATAGATGGGAGGATTCAAGATACGCCGAATCCAAAACCATACGAACTGAATGAAGGATTGCAGTGATGGTCGTGACAACGATAGAACTTCCTTGCGTTCAGGAGAGAACAATTGATACCCAATACTCCAAAGTAAAGGAGACCCACCAACATTGTAAAGAGCAACATACCTGAAATAATTTTAATAAGTAATTAATCATTCATAAATATGATAGGTCATGGTTCTGTACCTGTGCTTACCCTGCTGCAGTACCACCATCGACATGTGAAAGCAGTCCTGCAAGGATGACCTGTAAAAAAATTTGAAGCAACAATGTTCAGTCTCTATCTTCTGAGCAACAAACTGACTGTTCTATATCTAAAGGACAGCTGGTAGATCACACAGGTGAATGTTTTTATTGCTTTGGTCTGGCTACCAACCATCCCATAGACATGCAACAACCAAAAATATAGTATTTGCTATCATATAGACTAGCAAACAAAAGATAGCATAAGGGTGGAAGAAAAGAGAGACAAAAGATAGGGCTCCAAGTTGATTCCACCTTATTCTAGTAGTGGGTTGACTAATTCCATTGCAATTGCATCGTATAGAGTGACAACTTAGGGTGAAATATTACATTCTGCAAGGTGTCGGACGCAATCCCAGTTATTTAGGAAATGACAGATGGCCAAGGTGGCAAAATGGAAATGGATTTGGCCCAGAAGGCTATCAGTGCAGGTATAGAATAAAAAACAGACATTATTATTTTCTGTATACCTCTGAATGTCCTGGAGTTTCTCTCTAGCCAGAGTCTCCAAAAAAGGCTGGCAACAGCAAGGTGCCATAATCTCCTTCCTTTTTGGGAAAAAGGTGGTGCAAAATAGGTTTCGAAAAACTGGACCAGGATAGCCGGGGTGACCGATTGTAAGCCAAAAAGCTTGAGAAGAGAAGACCAGAGACTCTGAGACACTTCACAATGGAGAAATAGATGGGGAATTGTCTCCTCTTATTGGATACAAAGGATGCAGCGGTTAGAGAAGGCAAAGCCCCACTTTTGAGTTGGTCAAGAGTGAGGATTTTGCCATGTAAAGGAACCCATATGAATGCCTGAACTTTGTGGGGTATGAGTAAAGACCAAGAAAGGTTAATGAGGGATTATGTAGTAGGGAACTGTAAAAAGAAGATACTGAGAAAGAGCCCGAGGGAGCAGGAGACCAGATCAGAGAATCAGGTCTAGATAGAGTGCTAATGTAACTTCCTAAAGTTTGTAAGAAGGAGATGACGGTGGTCAATTCTTGGTCGTTGAGGTTACGTCTGAAGATTGGTGTCCAGACCAGAGTTGTGCCTGAGAAAGTCACATAGTCTGCGATAAGGGCCACTAGATCACGGGCCATAGGGAAGAGGAAGGGAAAGCTAGAGAGAGTGGGGAAGATCCTAACCAGGTATCAGTCCAGAATTTGATTCTGAGGTCATTGCCCAAACTTAATCTAGTTCTGTTGGTGAAATCTATTCTAGTGGAAGATATGCTTTTCCAGGCACCTGAGGATCTGTGTGGGGGGTGATCTAGGTAGCCAATCAACACCATTCATCCCATGTTTGGCTTCAATTACTTCTTTCCAGAGGAAGGGTGGGGCAGTGTTTCAAAAAGCGCTAGGCGGCACTGAGGCCATGGGGTCCAGGCCGCCCAGCGCCTAGGTGGGCGCCCAGAACCTGAGGGGCCAAGTTGACAAAAAAAAAAATTGATGACTAATAATAATTAATCCATAAGAATTTTGATAATCCATAAGACCATGATCTCAGTTAAAAAAAAAAAAGATAGAAGTCGGGAAGAGAATTTTGAATTTTTGATATTCCATATTTTCATACAATGCTAAAACAGTAAAACCATACAAGCATACACTGATTGTCTGATACACTGTAGACTGTACACACAAAAATTAGATAGTAGAAGTAGAACTAAAAACTAGAAAGTAGAAACAAAAAATAAGAAAGAGAAAATATACAGTCTATGAGACTATGACACATTAGTCAACACTCAACACTCAACACCAAGAGTCTTCAGCATCATCATCATCATCATAAAGAATAAGGTAAGCTTCATCATATGCTTCAGAATAAATGTCATCATCATCAGAGTCATCTCCCTCTTCAATATAACGCTTAGCATCCTCTGTTTCTTCTAAATTTGCCTCTTCCTCCTCTTCTTCTACCTCCCTCTTACTAGTATGCGTCAGGAAATTTTTTACATGGGGCAAGGCAACATCCCCCTCAATAGCAGTAAAGGTGGTTTTTAAACCAGTAAATGCCCCCATTAGGATCTTTTCCACAATAATTATATTTGATACGGTTTTTTCCACTCGGATTTGGGTTATAACCATACTTCCGACCCACTTCTAGAAGAATCTGGAGAAGATATTTCATAAAACAAGGCTCATTTTCATCATTTTTTGGTTCTTTCAAATTCAGAAGTTGTCCAATCTCATCCTAAATAGCTTCAAGAACCTTTTTACAAGAAGCAACATTCCTTTTAATACCAACAAGGTATTTCTTGAATCTGTTAATACCCCCATTGGTATCTTTTTCACAAAAAATACACCGTAAACAATTTTTATCATTTGGTTTTGGGTTATAACCATACTTCCAACCCGGATCACTTCTTCTAAAAATTGCAGAAATAGATCTACTCAAATGGCAAGGATTTTGTTCTTGTTTTTGTTCTACAAAACTCATATATTACTTAATCTCCTATCTGATAGCTTCAGGAACATTTTTACAAGGGGCAACATTCCCCTTAATACTGACAAGATGTTTCTTAAACCGGTTTATGCCCCCTTTTGTATCTTTTTCAAAAAAATTGCATCTAAAGCAATTTTTGTCATTTGGATTCGGTTTATATCCATATTTCCAACCTGAATCTCCACTTCGACTATCTCAAAATAAAACAATCTAAAAAATAAAGTTTCGTACTTACTTTGATTGCTTGAACTCCAAACTCCCACCTCTGACTAAAATAATAAAAAACACCCTCTAATAGGATTACAAAACTCTAAAACTAAACCAAATCTACCTGGGTGATGTTTGGATCTGTTTTCCGTAACTTTGAAAAGATCCAATGAAAGTCAGAAAATGATATTTTCTTGAGGTTTCTCTCTCTAAAATGGGTTCTTGTTGGTTTAGGCTTCAAATGAACCTAAAACCCATCCTTTGAAACCCTTTAAATTTTAAAAAAAATCAAGAGAAACGAAAAAAAAAAAATAAAGTTCTGCTTATACGCTGCTCAGGGACTGCCGCCCAATTCTGCCGCCCAATTTGGCCGCCTAGGCCTGGGCGAGCGCTCAGGCCTTCTGGACTGCCTAGGCACTGGGCGGTCCGTTTTTTTTAACACTAGGGTGGGGAGAGGAGAATTTCCACCACCACTTACCCAGGAGGGCTCGGTTCATAATTCTGAAGTCTTTAATTCCTAGGCCACTGAAAAATTTTGGATTGCATACTATATCCCAAGCTACTAAATGAATTTTCCTGGTTTCATCAACCCCTAACCAGAGAAAATCCCTCACTAGTTTTTCCAATTTTTGGATGACCGAGATGGGGATTTGAAACAGAGACATGTAGTAGATGGGAATGCTAGCTAAGGTTGCTCGAATTAGGGTAATTCGACCCCCAAATGAAAGGTATCTGGCTTTCCAAGAGGCAAATTTCCAAGTGAACCTCTCTATTAGGTTATCCCACATGGTTTTCTTTGGTTTTCCTAAGCAAAGAGGAAGGCCTAGGTAAGAGGATGGTATGGTTTCTGCGGCACAATCTAATCGAAAAGCCAAGCTAAGAAGAACTGCATTGTTGACTTGAATACCCATCATTTAATCTTGGAGAGATTTACGTTCATTCCAGTGAGCAGTTCAAAAGTTCTTAGGAATCACCAAAGACTATCGACTTGGGTAGGGTGGCATCATAAAAAATGAGTGTGTCATCAGCATAGATAAGGTGTGAAATGATGGAACCTAAGGGAGAAGTTTGGAAGCCCGAAAGGGAGACATTGCATAGAGTCTAGAGATAGTCTAACTGAAAAGTTCCCCTATGAGTGCGAAAAGAGGGTCTCCCTGCCTAAGACCTCTTTGCGCTTGGAAGAAACCTTCGGGGGATCCATTAACAAGGATGGGGAAGGAGGGGTGAGATATGCATTCGAAAATCCAATTTCTCCAAACTGAACCAAAGCCCATTCTAGATTGGATGGAACCTAGGATATCTCAATCTACCCTATCATTTGCCTTCTCCCAATCTAACTTAATGAGACCTTGCTGTCCTGACAGGGATCTAGAATGGATGGCCTTGTGCGCAGTCAGGGCCCATCCAAGATTTGCCTGTTAGCTACAAATGTTGACTGAGTGGAAGAGATAATGGAGGAAAGGACAAGCTGAAGCCTAGTTGCTAACACTTTGGCTAAAATTTTATAAGAGTTTCAAAGACTAATTGCGCAGAAATCCTTCATCTATGGGCACCCTCTATTTTGGGAATTAGAGCAAGGAAGGTACATTTGTGAGCTGAGTTTATTCTGCCCCTCAAGAAGAATTCTTCGAAGAAACCAAATAGGTTCGTGGCAGTAACATCCCAAAGGTTTTGGAACAGCGCTGAGGGGAACCCATCAGGTCCGGGGGCTTTATCAATTGGAAGATCAAAAGTAGTTTTCCTTATCTCTTCCAAGGAGAAAGGCCTCTCAAGATTAGCAGCATCTTCAGGGGAAATAACTTTAAAAGATAAATAAGTTGCCTAATCAAGGGTGAGGGTGGTTGGGCTTAGAAAAGAGGTTAGAGAAGAACCTAATAGAAAGACAACTGATGTGGCAAGGGTTGGTGAAAAGTTGGGGGCCAACTGTGATTTGTGTTATTGCATTTCCTTAATGTCTGGAACTGGAACAAGGTTGTATTTCGGTCACCCACTTTGAGCCATTTGATCCTAGATCTCTGATACCAGTAAATCTCCTCTTGTTTTAAGGTTTGAGAGAGGTCAAATTTGGCTTGGGTTCTATTATGACTTTCTAAGGCAGTCAGGGGTCCAGTTTCTTCCAATTGGTCCAGGTCTGAGATTAAAGTTAAGTAAGCTCTTATCCAGGTTCTGAAGTTTGAGGGGAGATCCCTACTCCAAAGCTTCAGAGCAGCTTTTAGGTTTTGGAGCTTATGAGTGAGCTTAAACCCTGCCTAACCAAAACATTTGTGGGGGACCAAACTGAGGCAAACAGAGATGGAAAAGTTGGTTCTTCAAACCAATGCAGTTCGAACCTTGAAGGTTTATTGATGCAAGGAGTGTGGTTGATATCTAGGAGAATAGGTTTATGATCTGAGGTTGTTTTAGGAAGTACTTGGGAACTGGTGTCATAGAACTCAACTTCCCACTGCTGGTTAAACAAAAACCTATCTAATTTTCACATAATTGGGGTTGTAGCATGCTTAGACCAGGCGAAGGAGGCTCCCAGCTTTTAAGGCAATTTGGTAGGCTCCATTCATGTCCCATATGAGTAGCAATGCAAGCTCATCTTGTAACATAGGTTTTTTAACCCACTAACATATCTAGCTACTAATTGTTCTTCACTTTTCGGAACCTGAGCTCGACTTAAGAGTTGATAGAATTCCTCAGTGTATTCTTGCACACTTTGGCCTTCTTTTGTTTCAGATGATGAAACCTTTTATACACTGATTGATTGTAATCAGAAGGAAGAAAACGAGCAGTTAGTTTCTCCTTCATTTTTTACCATGTTTGTATTTATTGTTTTCCACGTTAAACCTGGTCATTTTGTAAAGTTTGCCAAATTAGAGCACGACACTTAAGTTTAGTGGCAATAAACTTTACCTTTTCAGGTTCCGTTAGATCCTGCCATTCAAAGAAAGTTTCAATATCATCTCGAATATTTCTATAGCTTCCTTCCATAGCCTTAGCCAACCTCTCTGAAGCTGATTCTTGCCGTCCATCAACTGTTGCACAAATGGGTTCTCATTGGAAATACTATAATCTTCTTCATGGTTACTAGAAGTGTTGGAACTCCTCCCACCTCTTTATACTTCACGAACTAAGCCGCTTGACCACGTCTTGCTCGCCCTGCCATAGAGTCGTTGGCTCTAATACCAAATGATGTTTTCTAAGGCAAGAGGATTAAGAAATACGGCACAATAAAATGGAACTTCACGCTTTTATTTCAATAAAAAGATAGGATACAACAGTTTTTATAAGATGACAATAAACTAGGAGGAAATCACTCAACCTCACGTGGAAATCACTCACCTCGTGGAGAGGAATCACTCACTCTCAAAGAAAACTCAAGACAAATCTCAATTCCAAGTTGTTGGAATGGACCCCTTTGAGGGGTATGTATAGGTTAATTTTGGTGGCCCAAAGGTTGCCAAATCTTGGCCATGATTTCCTTAGACCAAATCCTAGCCATTATTTCCTTAGGCCAAATCCTAGCCATTGATTTTGGGAGATATTTCTAGAGAGGTTATCAAGAAAATTCTAGAGAAGGTTCTTAAATACAATAATTTATTACTAGATTTTTCTAGAGAAGTTTCCGAGAAATTTCCTAGGATAATAATTTAATTGTCTAGGTTTCTTTGGAACATTCAAGAATCCTTCTTCTAGATTTAGGGATGCATCATCTTCATACCTCTAAAAGCGATTTCTCTCTCTCACTGGTATTCCTCATTGCCTCATGTACTCAAGGTATATGATTCGAGGCCCCAGTGGGCCAAGCACCTAGAATCATCATCTCTCACTTATTCCCACTGAGAGAGAATCTTCGATTTGAGGCTTTGAAAGGCCACAATTCCAACACCAAGTGACCCACAAGATCAAGACTACAAAAGGCAAGATTCGATGCTTCCATTTAAGGAAATTCGTCGAGGTCGATTTTTCTTAAACAAGTTGGGGAAGAAAGGAATGAATAAAGGGAAGAGTCATTCAATTAGGGGATGAAGATAAGTAATGGAAGAAGATTTTAGGAAACAATTTTTTTGAAGAATCAGTTTTTGGAGAGAAATTGGTATGTGAGGCAATCAATTTTCAGCAATAAGGGTTATTCATTTCTTAGTGTAATAAGAGCGATTGAGAAAAGATTAGAAGAAAAAGATTATGGATAAGAGGATTTAGAAAGAAGAATTTAGGGAAAAGGACTGTAGGAAGATTGAGACAGATTAAAGAAATAAGTAATCAGATTTGATAAGAAAGGATAAAAGAGATGAAATTTGGGATTCCCTTACAAATCTTTCTACATCTCAAATACAAGAAAGGAGAGACACAAGATAGTGCCGCAAGTTGACTCCATCTTTCTTTATTAGCAGGTCGACTATTTCCATAGCATCTTATATAGTTACAACTACGGGTCCAATATTACATTACACCTCTTACATGTACAATACCTGACCTTATATTAAATTGAACAAAAATTTACAACACTAACCCTACATGTCACTTCCTAACAAGTATTTCCATGAGCATCGTTCAGATCACGGAATGCTGACACAAGGGTAACCATATCTAGAGAATTATTGAAATGGGCAGATTTAGGTATCTAGAAAAAAAAATTAGTAGTGACAGTCGAAGATGCTTACCAAGAATTAAAAAATTGATGCACATTTTAAAGGATGACTATGAAAAAAATAAGTACTAAATAAACAAGGAACTTTAATATAAATATTCACCACCCCCAAATTAACATATGGAGCTGTACATATATATACATATATATACACAAATATTGATTAATGTGCACATAAAAACTTTTAAACTATTGTACAAGGGAAATTCTAAGTGCCAATTCTTCCATTATGGAAGCCAAGCACACGCTTAATGAGAATGGACTGCATGTAGAAATAAACGTCTATATCTGTTACATGCAATGGGACGTAAAAAAGCTGCCTATTGATTCAAAGGTAGGTGACCAATTTGTGGCTTCAAAGGTAGAACTATTGCAGATGGAAGATAGGGTGCTAATAATCCATTGCCACAAGCATTGTTCCTGATTTCATGTTTGATGTTCTTAGAACTGGATCAATTTTCATTGTGTGAGAATCACATGTGCAGACAGGGTTCATATGGCCATCACCATTATGCCCACAACACATGCAATTCAACATTAAGAGGTAAGAGCTAATGACATACAATAAATATAAAATACAACAATTAAAAAATAAAAAACATTTAAAAGTCCAAAATTGCAATTCACTTATGGAACGACAACCGAGTCAAGACCAGTAGCATTCCTAATGACGCAACAAATCAACCCTGACTGAATGCAAAATGAGGGGTAAATAGTAAATTTACCAAAGGAAGGGATACGCTATTGCCAAATGCACAAGCAGCAATAATCAAGGAATCATCTTTAAGAATATCAATATCCTTTACAGAAACATCTGCCATAGAAACTTGATTGCCCCAAGCATCAATGGGGACCATACAGTTGGTTTTGTTCATCAAGTGAAAAACAGCCTTCCCGAGTAACCATCCAGTAAGCACCTAATGTATGAACACGACAGATTTTAGTTCGAAAAAGACTACAAAAATATTGAAAACCCTGAAATGTGCACTAAGTAAATCAATCTTCTACCTAGTACACATCATACCTGTAGGATGGCAATCACAGGTAGAGAAAGCAGACTCCATTGAGCTTCAAGAGCAACAATCTTGGAGACCTGTATAAAAATAGCTAAGATCACTTAAAAGTCAAAGAAACGCTATAACTAGAGATAAATCTCTGCCAAGAACATGCGTAATCACTAAGAAGGTTTATAAAGTAAAAAATTTCACCTTGGATATAAGAAAACAGGGTACGGTTATTCTGAAAGTCACCTGCTCACATTCGGAAACAGGAATTGCTCCCTCTTAATATTACATTAGATCAAAAAGAAACTGAATATCAATGCTTAACAATTTGTGTTAATTAATTCTACAGAATATTCAAATGATGAGACTTTAGACAAGCATAAGTACCAGACACAATCCAAAAAGTAGAACGCATTTAAGTCTACACTCTCCATAGTTCCTAAAGATCATATCCTAAGGGCAAAATCTGGAAAGCTATGAATGCAATCAAATGCCCACTTAGGCACATAATTGCAAAGAAATAACACTTTCCAAGTTTACTTTCATAATATACATATATATATATATATATATATATCATTGTAGTTTTTTATTTTTACTAATTTAACTTGCATATAATTTAAATTAACTAAGAAAAACTATTTTTTTTCTTTTTTTTCTTTTATTTTTTTTTCTTTCTGTATACTGGTTTAACTTACATACATTTGAAACAACCTAAGGAAAGAATGCTTCTTAGTGATTTTTTGTAGGTGTTCTTTATTTATAGTAGTTTAACTACCTGACTTAGAATTGCTGGTGTCTCTGGAGTGATATGCCTAGATCTCTGCAACAACCCCACAAAAACTACCTTGACATGTTAAAGCGCTCAAAGAGTCAAACGAGGCTAAAATGGAAAATTAACAAAAATATAAATAAAAATAAAGAAAACAAGAGAAATAATGGCCATAAATAAATATTCAAAGGATTTTGTTAGGCTACACCACTTGGTGGTGTAGATCCTTAAAGTGCTCAACATTTTTGGATAATAAAATACCCTTGAATTGTAATACAAAATTTTCAAGTAGGGGCATTTTTGGTCATTTAGAAAGGTAGAATGGATATTTTTATAAGAAAATAGTGGCCTTCTATTAGTAGTTAAAAACAATTAATGCATCTTGTGGGTGATGTCACACACCATATCGGTGATGTCATTGTCCACTATTGTTAATAAATGCTTTTGTTTCTATTAGGAATTTCTAGTTTACCCTTGACTAATTACTTAAAATACTCCTAAACAAAAAGTTACTGTACTATAGGATAACGGTATCTAAATGTCTCAAAATATTGAACACTTTAGGGGTCTACACCACAAGTTGTGTAGCCTAACAAAACCCATATTCAAAATAATAAAGAGACTAGAGCCTATTGGTTCGAGGGGGAAAATAATAATTTTACACCATCCAAATTGGTTCTCTTTGAGAGTAAAATGATGAATCTAACCCTTTCAATCCCCGAATACTTGTGAACACGCGAACATTCCTATAATTCAAGACCATGCGCTACTGGACTACACTAGCAATGCAATAAGAACCTTCATCCAATGAAGGTTTCTATCATACTGGACCATGCGAAACTTGACTACACTGGCAATGCAATAAGATTCTTTATTGGATGAAGGGGCATAATGCCATCAAATCAGTGTTTGAAAAATCGTTGATCTAGATTGGAATCGCTCTATCCAGATCGAAAATCATCCTAACCATTTCGGATCCCGCCATAGGTCAGGATCGTCCGAGTCGCCCCCCAAACCGGGTTCAGCGCGATCTTCTCACCAATCGCTCTATCCAGATCAAAAATCGTCCTAACCATTTCGGATCGCGCGATCTCCTCACTGAATAGCTCTATCCGAATCGAAATCGTCCTAATCATTTTGGATCCCGTCATAGGTCAGGACCGTCCAAGTCGCCCCCCAACCGAGTTCAGCGTTATCTTCTCACCGAACCAAACCGGTTCTATTATAGAACCGGTTGGAAACGATACTCGTTTTTCCACTTTTCCTTGTTAAATTGAATTTTGAAAAAAGGGCCCCATAGGCCACCCCATCTTTAGGTCATATCACCACTTTTGACAAAGGTTTACATCATTGGTTGATGCCTTGCCCATATAGAAGCCCTTTTCACCTTTCAACTCGCACGTGGAATCCATTGTGGGAGGATTGCGTGTCGCATTTTTTTTTTATGAAGGCTTTGCATGCCTCAAATTTTCGATGTGGGACATGTCTTCCTTTCCACTATAATTTCTATGGGATGACTAATTGGGGCATCTATACCACTTCTATAGGTGAATTACTTGGGCGAGTAGAAGAATAAATTATGAGATAAATAATGAAATATAGCAAGTTTGTCAAAATAAATAAATAATTTTTGAGGTAAATAACAGCAACTCATGCAAGCATAAATTTATTTATTTATTTTTAATTTTCATTAAAAGAGGATTACAAATTCATATTTTGAGCCACAATGCAAACAGGTTTTAGGATTTTGAGAAATCATGTTTTAAAAATTAATAATTTTCTTAATAAATATGGGGCTTTTGATGCATCTAGTTTATTGATGCATATGGTGTGTGATACAAATTTTTTTAATTTTTTAAAATTTTATGCCATTATTTGCCCGACACCGTCCGACCGCCCTTCATCCATCTATCTTTCAAAGTCGATCCGACCATGTTCTCTTTTCTTCTATTATTTATTATCAACTCGAGTGATAGACGGAATGTTGCTACCAGTTAGCCGCTTCTCCGCTCCTTTGATCTCCGGTGCCAATTAAGGGGGGGAGGTGTTTGCAGATAGAATTCCATACGTCTAGAGGGTTTTTAGTGAAAAAACATTTTTTAAATATTTTTTTAAATGTCAAAATCAAATTTTATAAGGTGTTTTATATTTATTTTTAATCTTATGATATGAAAGTGTTTTTTAATATTTTTTTGAATCGTGTTTGATGCAACATTATAATATTAGAATTAGTAATTATACACTAATAACTAAATCTTGTATTTTATTTATTAATTTATTTATATTTAAATTATATAATGTATCATTTTTTTTATAGTTGTATATAAGATTTTTTAAAATTAGATGATATTATAATACAAAAAGTTCAAATTTATTTTTATTTTTATAGTAAAATAATTATTAAATATAACGTAATAACCAATTTTAGTATACAGTACTATAGTTGAATAGGTTATGATGATTTTGGATGAGTAGAGAGAATTAACAAATTTTTGATGTGATACTAATTTCATTTTATAAGGGGTATTATTTTTTTAGTCTTATAATAAAGAAGTGTTTTTTAGAATTTTTTGAATCATGTTTAATGCAATATCATAGTATTACATTATAATTAACAATTATATAGGCATCCAAACAAAGAAACAGTGTCTCAATATTCATGTACTTTTGCAAACTCAACAAAAGTACATAATATAACAACTACCAAAATTTTGAGAAACTCAAAAAATTATTTTCAAGGATTTTTAGTGATATTTTGAAATTTTTTGAAGCCAAAACAGGCCGATTCTTCGAATCCGGATTGTCGATTCACCAATCCAACACAGTTTTTTGGGTGGCTGATCTGGGTCACCAATCCATGTTTTTAAACCTTGCACCAAATATTGCAAATTGGTCTAGTCAATAGCTCATATTTTCTAGGGCATTGATTTCTCCACAATCTATTCATATGGAACTTTCTATTCACCTCGAAAATTTCCCATAATAAGGGGTATTTATAAAACAACCCTCAACAAATACACTATTTAATATCTTTTTGTCCCACTCTCAAGATGTCCAATGAGGATGATGCTAAAATTGGTCGATAGTGGGTTACAATTTGTTTTGAAGAAACTTTAATGTATTGTATTCTCGTGGGCTGGAAACTATTTAAGGGACAGTTTCCAATTTTGCCCCTACATAGAAGCAAAAGTAATTTTTTCTGGCAAAATCACCTTGGGCAAGTTGTAAAGAACAACTGCAAGACCAGTGATTCATTATGAGATGAATGTGGGGCAGTCAAGAAAGAACATATCTACATAACGAGTGTAGCTAGAGATGAGGATGTTAAGATAGATGAATTGCAAGACAAAGAAGGATGACAATCGTAATGAATACAGTGGAGGGAACTTATGGATAGCTCCAATAGGCAACAAATTGAGGGAAAGTAACGTTAGGTGATCTAGTCATATGCAGTGTTGACCTAGAACGACACCGATTAGGAGTGGAGATTTTAGTTCAAGTGGAAGGCTTTAAAAGGCAAGGAGAAAGCCCCAAGATACATGGATGAACGTAGTAAGAAATGATATGATGACTTATAGTCTGACTAAAAGTCTAACCCTCGATAGAGCAGAGCAGGAGACCAGGATTTATGTAGCCGACCCAAATAGTTAGGATATGGCTTGGATGATGATGATGATATATCTCACAAGTGTTAAGTACTTAAGTTATCAGAGGAGATTGATGTTTTCAAAAACCAGTATCTCATTGGAGATGTTAATGGGTAGGGTTCCGTCCAGGTTGATCACAAACTGGACTCAACACGATTGAGTCTTAATTGGACCCAGACCTGTGTCGAGTCCAAGTCAATGGACTTGACCGGTCAAGTTGAGCATGGTTTAGTTCTAGATAAAAGAAAAATAAATTTCATTATAAATATTTGTAATATATTATTTTATTATAAATATTTATAATATATAAATAATGTAGTATATACATATATTATATATACATATAGAGTCGAATTGGGTAGGGTCGACCTTGGCCCTCACCAAACCCAATCTGATGAGTTCCAAGATGGATCGAGACCCAGACCCAACCCAGGTCACTTGGACCCAAACCTGCCCTATCAAGGCCCAATATTTTGGTCCAAATTTGGACCCACATTGGTTCAAGTCTTCAACCCGTTGGATCGACCCAAAACAATTGCCACCTCTATATCTCGCTTTAAACACCTCATGAGATAGTAGTAGTTTTTAACACCAATGTCCCACTAAGTCAATCCATGAGATACTTGTGCTTTGAATACAAATATCTAATGAGATGTTTAGAGTGTAGTGAGATATTGATGTACGACAAAAGAAAGTATACAATAAGACGACTTACTTTTGGTACAAGAATGTCATAATCACCTCTAGCCATCAAATGTAAAATCAGATGGCTATGAGTGTATCGTTCCTCACATAAAGTCCGAAAAGGATTTTCTCAAACTTTGAGCATAGTGAAAGGCATCAACCACATAACTTCACATCTGACAGCTAAAGGTGATTGTGATCTTTTTGTACCACAAATAAATAATTTCATTATATATTAGTTTTAAAAAAGATTCTCTAAAAACAACATAGGGGATTTCATAATTTGATTGAGCATTGTCAAATTTAGGGCAATGTATGACTTGAGTGAGGGCTTTAATCCCACATTTGACAAATTGAGAACAATTAAATGAGAGAGTCACGTACATAGAGAGAAATCTCTCCACCTGTGGCCACAGTTATGACAGTTCATCATGGGCGACTAGGTCCTACGACTGCATGTCGTGGTAAATTAGTCTCTCCTGCCACCCATTTGCTTTGCCACATGCCTAATAAATGTCACACTCTTATGACATATGTTTGCCACGCCTAACCACCCTTTACAACAACTATTAATTAAGATTTCTTTATACCTCAAGACTTCATTAACAGATATTTGTGAAACTTGAACCAAACCGAAGCCTATCTCAAGGTAAAATCTTTTATGGGCAGATCAATGTGAAGTCTATGTTCATCCAGAGGTTTCACGTGAGAATGCAACTCATAAAACCTACATAGTGCCGCACTAGGGGCAATGGTATCCTAGGGCTATTCTCGTCACAACCCAATTGCATCTTCCATCTTAAAAATATCTTTGTACCCCTTTATTTTTAAGTTTCATTTCACAATAGACCTAAAGTTTTAAACGATATCTTGAGGCATTAAAATTGTAGATTTTATTTCTTATGAACCCCTGATTTATTTTAGACATGTTTTTTTAGGCCAAACAAATCTAAAAAGACATGCCTTTTCTATAATCCATCATCCCAACTTCTCGAGAGAGAGAAGGGCTTCATAGACGTGAAAAGTTATCGAAATGGGAGAGAGAGGTGTTGGGATAAACACAGGCGAGAGAGAGTGAGAGACACAGGAAGATAGAGAGAGAGAAGTTTGGGGTATATAAGTGAAGAGAAAGAGGAATGGGTTTAGAAAGAGCATGTCTTTCTCACATTTGTTTAAGTTAAAAAATAGGTTTAAAGTCGTCAGGGGGTTAGAAGATACCTTTTAAAACCTTGGGTTTATCAAGATATGAAACCTAAAAATAGGGATTTCCCTTAAAGATATTGACGGCAGCATGAGCATATCCTGCCTCCCAATCCAACTATTGAAGCGAAGGTGTCCTATGTTTCGGAATGTTCAGGTTACCCTTTTGGAATGTTCAGGTTACCCTTTCGGAAGTCCATCGTAATACAAATCACATCAATATGAGCTCTATTTACAACTTGGACTTCGCAATAATTGTAGGGCAAGCTTTCTATGCTTCCCCTACTACATAAAACCTATATATTTCCCCTTATCCAACCGTCCCTTCTAAATGAAAAAGCTAAGATTGCCTCAATCACATTGTCATGTCTCTACACTATTTTATTTTTAATTGTTTTTCTATAAACTATTTTGACACCAAATTTTGGTCGTCCAATCCTATATTAAACTCGCACTAGCGAAAAATATAAAAAAAATATATCTAATAAAATAAAATGACCAAAATACCCCTTAGAGTTTTAAGGGGTATTTTGGTCATTATATTTTATCGAAAACTTAGTTTTAATATTTTTTTATAGCTACACCCCAATGAGAAGATGGCATTAGAAGATGGCACATACCAAATTTCATATTCATACAATTTGTACAAAAAAACTAAAAATAAAATACTTTGAGTTGTCGGATCAAAGATCAAACTGTGAATGGCTATCTTGATCAAAATTGGACGGCTAGACGGTAGGGGAAGCATAAATCTTCTATGTTGGAGGAGAAGTATAGAAACCTTTCCCATAATTGTATTGATATCAGCCAAGAATTTTAGGATTAATACAGATTGTAGAAATCGTAGTCTCATTTGAGAGTTGGCTTCGAAGTGATTGTATAGATCTCAGGTTGACCTGCTTTAGCCAAGTAGTGTAATTTAGACATTGGTTGAAGTTTCCACTTCAGTTGTGGATAATGCTTCAATATTGACATCGATAATGTTGTTTGACCAAGGTCTTAAAATTCAGCAATCTGGATTGGAATTGCCCTATCCAGAACAGCTTTGGAGGTAGGTGAACTGAATCTGTCAATATAACAGATTCCACTCGATCCCCCCTGGATCACCATTTTACTGTAGCACCTTAGTAAGTCATGGGTTGAAGCATTTTTCAAGCACTTACCATGCCTTTTTATGCTCTTGATTCATAATTTAGCTTTTTGTAGTGAATAATTAATCAAAGCATTGTATTATGGCTATAAAACAATGTTTTGGAAATCAAACATACATAAAAAAAATTTCAATCAATTGAAAGGGCAGTTTTTCACTGGTTCTGAAATTTCCACCATTCTTTCGATGAAATCTTCAATACCGATTTTTTTTATGAAATTTAGTGTGTTTGAAAAATAATCGACACCTTTTTTTTATGTATGTGGATTTGTTCGATCTACAAAAGATTGTGGGTGGATTTTTGTTCGAAATGCTGCTGCTGAAAAAACATGAGATCAATTCAAAATTGAAGATTCAGATCGATTTATAGCTCGTTTTGGATCCACCAAAGCTTCATCTCTCAAATAAAATAGATAAATTTATTTATCATTGATTTTTTTCTTGCTCGCAATAGATGAAAAGTTTATGGATCTGAATTTTCATCATTCTTTCAATTAAATATTAAATACCAAATGTTTTTTTTATAAAATTTGGTGTGTTTAAAAGACAATTGAAGCCTATACAATGCGTGTGCGTTGATTTGTTCGATTGTCAGAAGATTGTGAATCAATTTTTGCTCGAAACATAATTCGATTTTAAGGGTTTTCGATAAATTGATTTCACTAATCATTCATTCATATCACTCAAAAAAAAGGAACTTACCATCATCTTCAAATGGTATTATAGAATTAGAATTGCACACAGAGTATAAATTACACGAACATCTTCAAATGTTCCCATATTTCATCAAAATTGGAATTGCACGCAAAGTAGAAATTACACGAACATCTTCAAATGTTCCTATATTTCCTCCAAACTGTTGCAAAGCAAAGGTTGTAACATCTTCAAATGTATTTTGGTTGTAATATGGTCCATTTTGAACTTTGTATTCATAGCCTTGATGATTGCATGCTCCTATGTTTTTAGTTATATGAATGAATGGTTAGGAAAATCGATTTATAAAAAAACCCTACAATCGAATAACGCTTCGAGCAAAAATCAACCCATAATCTTCAGACAATCAAACAAATCAACACATATATATTATAAAAGCTTCGCTTGTATGACAATCGTACCAAATTTCATAAAAAAATTCGGTATTGAAGATTTAATCGAAAGAATGGCAAAAATTTCAGATCCATAAACTTATCATCTACTATAAGCAAGAAAAAAATTACTCGATGATAACTAAATTTACCTTTTTTATTTGAGAGATAAAGCCTTTGTGATAAAAAACCATAACTCAATTTGATCCAAATCCAGCTATAAATCTATTGGAATCTTCAAATTTGAATTGATCTAATATTTTTTCAACTGCAGTGTTTCGAACAAAAATCGACCTATAATCTTATGTAGATCGAACAAACCGACATACAGATCCAATAAAGGCTTCGATTATCTTTCAAACACACCAAATTTCATCAAACAAACATTCAGTATTGAAAATTTAATCAAAAAGCACAATCGAAATTTCATAACTCGTGAAAAAACTGTCCTTTCAATCGATTGAAATTTTTTTAAGCATATTTGAATCCCAAACAATTGTTTTATAGCCATAATACAACACTTTAGACCAATTATTCACCATAAAGAGCCAAAATATAGGCAAGAAATGAATAACAAAGCATCAAAACGCATGAGAAATCCTTCAACCTATAACCCATTGTCTCAACATATGACTCGACGATTCTATTGTACAGTAAAATAGCAATCCAGGGGGAATCGAGTGGAATCCGATATATTGACAAATCCAATTTGTCCACCTCCAAATCTCATTCAGATCAGGTAATTCTGATCCAGATCACCGAAATTTAAAACCTTGGGTAGGACTATGAAAAGCACGGCTCAAAATCATAAGTGAGAATGGGCAGCTACCCCGCTAAATATGCCAAAAGAAAACTGAGAGGGTGAAATTTCGAATTCCTGTAAATGATTTTGCCAGAAAAAACCCCAAATTTTAGTCTAATTTCTACAACAGCAATACTTTACTATTTTCTGCTTCATATCAGTCCTTATTTCCATATTTTCGCCCTAAAATCACACAAAATAACCAACTCTATTGATTTTATTTCATGTACTTTCCATCACTGGCATAGCAATGACGTACTTTTCCATTGTCTACTTTTCTTTTGTCCTAATTTTCCAGTGCTCTTCTTATAACTAACCTCTGTATTTTTAAACCACATACTTGAATGCGCAATTTTTGCCGAGAAATGGAGAAATTCGATACACATATAGCAGTCTCAAAAACCTGGCATTAAGAAAATCACAAAAACTTGCCAAAATTTTAACGAGAAATGGTGAAATTCAAGTTCCAGAAACTTACCACATATAGCAGCAAGGCTCAGAGAGGTTTTTGCAGTGCCTAAGAAGACCTCTTTCAGTGGAGCAATGGGAGCCAAAGAAGCAGACGCTTGAGGAATTGCGGATACCACTCTCATTTTTAAGGTCTTTGCTCTGTTTCTGAAACCATAGGTAAAAGTTTGCGGCCTCTTGACAATACCAGGGACTAGGCACAGTGTATAACCAGGAAGACGACGAGATGTTAGATTGGCCATTAATGGAATTGCAAGAAACGATCCCTACACTCTTACAGCTACTTCGTGAGAACTTGTGACGTTGAACCATCAAATATGGAAACCCTATAATAAATGGATTCTCCCTGATGCTTTGTCAAATCAGGATAGATGAACTACTTTACCATTTGTTCAAGCTCTGGAATGTACTGCAAAAGCCCACTAGAAGAAACCTTGGAAACTGATGATTTAGACATATGGCTCTTCCGAATCAAGTGTGAGCTTTAAAGAACCAGCATCGATGAAATCAAACAAAACTTTCATGGATTAGAGCCCTAGAATCCATTGTCCCTCTCTCTATCTGCTCTCAAACAAGGTGCCAATAATCAAAATATCATAAACTGAAACCCTCAAAACAGTGCCCATTGTGTGCAACTATCCTCGATCGAAGCAAAATAAACGAGGAGTTGTCGGTACCCTAAAACCAATTCCTTTTCTCTGCAACCTCTGTTCTCATCTTTGGTAAATCTTTCCCTCTACAAGTTTTCAGAACCAAAATACATAAGGAATTATCTCATTTAGAAACCCTTTACTTACCCAAGACAAAAAAAACCATAACTCCCTTTAGAACTCCTCCAATGAAGAGAAAGCAGGTAAACTTACAACGGTCATTTTGTGGAAACCCTAGCTCCACCATGAACTTAAAAAGAGACAAAGAGTGATAGCTCCCCTTTAGAAGTTTTCTGAAGAAGAGAGTGATATCGCATAAACCCCAGCTCAACATGAAATGTGAGACGAAGTAGAGCAAATGAGAAATATGGTTTGAAGGCATAGCAAATGAGAATATGTTTTGAATTTTTTGTGATAGCTTTAAAATATATTTTTAGTTTTAATTATAAAATTTAAAATTTTAAAAATAGTATAGATATCGATTAATTTATAAAATTTTGAAAATTAATGGTACAAAAATGTATCACAAGATACTATTTTTAAAAATTAAAAAAAAAAAAAATTTATTTTTATATATTTTGAGATCAAGATGATCTTGATGATATTTAAAAATAAAAAACTTTTTTAATAAAAATTTTAAGGTGCACTTTAATTTTACTGTTTAGAACTTCGACTCCATATAAACAAACCATTTCCATAAATTTTAGTGCGGGAGAAAGAGGATAACGCATTAGGACCAGTAGAGTGCGGTGGCTGAGAGAGGCAGCTCGCCAGCTGTGCTTCAGTACGTAAACACGGGTCGACGTCGGCCAGCTATGCTTAGCTAAACACGTGTCGATGTTTCAATGGTTTTTTATATGGCGGGAAGAAACGTACTCTGGGCTCGAAGCTCGAAACAAATCGATTTTTCTTTTTGTTGCATTGTAGAAGGACAAAATTTAATAATAAAAAAATGCCTTCTCTTTACTTTTTCTCCACGATAGCGTCCGTACACTCGCGCCGGGGTGGCAACTGGTCGGGTCCCGTCTACCGGACTCGGAGCCAAAAATAATTGGGATACGGACGTGGACGCATCGGATCCCATCCGAAATTTATGTATTTAATTATATTTAAATATATTTTATAAATTGAGACACGAAAAATATTAGTAGACTCGGTCGGACCCAAACCCGACATACTCGAACCTAGATCAGGTCTACCCTTGGGATCCTATTTCGGGTCTGGCTTTATTCCCACCCCTACATACAGCTCGCCCACAATATTTCGAAGGCACATTTTATTAAAAAGTGATGGTCGGGGGCCCCCAAAATTTATGGAGAATTTATTTCTAGAAATAATAAAGTTTTTATGAAGCTTAGGTTTTAGATAAGGAAAAAGTTTATATCAATGCAAGACTTTAAACAATCAAACTAAAGCGTGCATCAAAATTCACTAATAGATGTTTTGATTTCAAATATCCTCAAATTGATCATCTCGACCTCAAGATGTATGGACCAAAGATAAAATAGATTTCAAGTCTTGTAAATAGTATATCTAGTAATGTATTTTCTGGACAATCAATTTTCAAGATGTTCAAGCGTTTATAGATCTTATTGATCTACACTAGTTTTAGAGCTTTAAAATTTATAATTAAAGGTGAAAATAATTTTCAGGTTATCACAAAGATTTCCAATACTAAAACATCTTTCGACACAATTTGAAGGTGTGCCTTACTTTGATTGTTTAGAGCCTCTACAAACCACACCTTTTAGATATGGGAAAAGTTTATATAGAGTTGAGGCTCTAAACAATAAGATTAGAGCTTACGTCAAAAAATTTACTTCAAGAGGTTGTTTTAATGCCCAAATATCCTCAATTAATCATCTCGATATCAAGATGCGTGGGCATGAGACAAAAAATGGATTCAAGTTTTTTAAATAGTGTATTTTGTAACCAATTTTTTGACAGTCAATTTTCAAAATTTTCAAGTTTTTATAGATCTGTCGATTTACACTTTTTTTAAGCTTTAAACTTTATAAATAAATATGAAAATATATTATAAGGCGATCACAAATATTTCTAGTATTGAAACCATATTTCTCAATGCTATTTGAAGATAGACTCTAATTTGATTGTATGGAGCCTAAGCTATATCCAAATCACACCCTTTCGATAAAGGCCTCATATTGTATCATAATCTTGAAACCATTTTGGGCATCAGAATTATTTGCGATTGCTTTAAAATTATTTTTTAATATAGACTATATAATTTGAAGTTCAAAAAGTGATATAGATCTTGTGGCTATATGAGGATTCATTTTTAAGGCTCAATGGACAATTTAGATGGTGTATTATAATATGCGTAATGATACTATGAGACCCTCCCACACCCACGTGAGTAGTACTCCAAAATATCACCATTAAATTTCAACACAGATATTTAGAAAAATTATCATTAAACTCATTCACCCAAGTCCCATACCTATGTGATAACTTTTCTAGATATCTGTGTCAAAATTTAATTGTGATCTTTTGGGATCCTATTCACATAAATGTGAAGGTCTCACAGTGTCATTACTCTTATAATATATATTGTTTTGTTTACAACCATAGTGGTCAACACTGAGATGATTGATTTGAAGATTTTTTGATGTCATAACTACAATTTTCAGTAATTTCTTAGATGAGGCTTTACTTGTTTTGATATGGTTGCGACCTTATCAAGCATTTTCCTCTAGAAGAATGAATTATGTTGCCTTGTGAAAAATAGACCACTCCCCCATATATGAAAGTAGTTTAAAGATTTTTTTTAGGTAGTGAGTAAGGTCCCCTATTAATTGCAAGAATTGAGACATGCTATTTCATATTTTTTAGGAAATACTTTTCATTGCAATTAAATTTGTTATTTTTATGGTGACCCATTACCCAAACATTTTTTTTTTTTTACTAACTCAGAGTATTTTTCAGTTTTATTTATGACAAAAATATCTTTATTTGCATCTCTTTCTTTCATTGTTTCTCTCTTTAAACCTACATTCCTATTCATATCATATCTCTCTCTAAAAATATAAATGGGTCAATTAGCTTCTCTCTAGAGACAATGAGTTTGGGATGTACTTGGAAAGAGAAAAAATGGTTAACAAAAAGAGAGAAATCACCAACCTATTTATATTTTATTTAGAGATACAACAAATCTATTCATCCTTTTTAGAGAAAGAGCTTTAGAGAGAGAAACCGGCAAACCAAACCATACTCTTAGGAAGATAAAGTTTTAGGGAGAGAAACCGACAAACCCACTTACTTTTTTTGAGGAAGAAAGAGTGAGATGAATATGAATGGAAAATAGGCATAGATAAAGGGAAAAAGGGAAAGAAAGTAAAATGTGAATTTTAATTTTGATGTATTTTCGTTATAAATGTGGTTGAAAAGTGGCCTTGGGTATAAGCGAGAAATAAAAATATTTTGAAGTAACAGGTGAGAGACTTTTCAACCTAGGGGACGGCATCGTGAGGAGAAAATTCAACCTAATGGGTTTGGTAATTTCCCTAAATTTAAAACTTAAAATTCAATAAAAATGATGAAAATTACTAATAAAGATATAATAATAGTGTAGAAAGCACCAAAAAATAAGAAGTTGAATATAGAATTGATAATTTAGGAAAAAAACAAATGAATACTGGCAAATCAAGAAAAATTCAATAAAAAATATTGGAGATAATCATGAAATTAGTGTTAAGATTAAAAACAATGCAATGAATCAAGTTTAAGCAAAAATAATGGATTGTTTCTTAGTTTTCCACAATAAAAAACATATATTTGTCAAATAAACAAATTTCAGTAAAAAAGTGCCCGGTCCTAGTTGTTGATTGCCAAATAATAACTTCGTCAAGCATTAAATTTTCCCAATGAATTTGAGAAAAATAGTGTAAAAAATATAAAAACTACACAGAAATTCAAAACCTAAACAAATAAGCAACGACTTGAACAAAAGCATGTTCTAAATTGTGTCTAACAGGGAATGGGGTTGAGGTCATGGTAGGTTTCTATTCTCACTTACGCATTCAAAAACCGCTAATTATTTCTAAAAATGAGTAGGGGTTTGTACTCTCCAATGATCTAACCCAAAAAAAAAAATTATGTCTAATGCTTTCTAGACAATAATTCCCAACTATATCTAATATACAAAATATAAATATTCTAAAAAAATAAAGGTTTGTCAAAAATAATAAATATTGGGCCACGAAAATCCAATATGCAAAAAGATATCCTACAATCGAGAAATACTTGAGTGGATTGAAGCTAAGACAGACAATTCTCTAAAGAAACCATGGATTAAAATACAACGCAGCATATCAAAGCTCATTTCAACAAAAAATGGCCAAAACATTTACACTCTCCAATTTTGGTTTTTTATCGAATAAATGGATGTACGATCTAAAAGATGGCTAAACATTTAAAGAACTTGACACAAAGATCACAAAAAAATAAAGAAAAAAACATGAGAAATGGCAGTTTGGGCCTTCTTTTTTTCTTTTCTTATGTGAATGGGCAAAAAGAAAAATGATCGTGTGGGATCGTTGATCTAGATCAAATATTTGATGAACCAAATCACCTAATTCTCTAACAAAACAAGGTCATTGTATGAATATCCAAATGATCCCCAATTTCGAAAGTGATTTGCCATGTGTCCGTTCCAAATCCGATTGAAGTCGGCGATTCCTCAATTCGGATCGACAAATTTTTAAACACTTCTCTGTGCATTTCATTGATGCCAAAACGAATGCCTGCTCCTTCCAACGCATACCAACTCAACTTGGGCCTTAGACCCCTCTCTCTCTGCCCTTACGTAGCTGGCATTTTCCTTTTTTATTTATCGAAAAGGGTTTACATAAAACATAGGCTCTACAAAAATAAGTCATGCCTTAAAGACACATAAAAAATTGTAGTTATTGTTGGGATTTTGTGGCTTTTTAAGCCTTCGACACCCTTATGCTCAAACCCCCTTACATAGTGGATGTTTTAGCCCCAGTGGGAGCAGAGTCCTCAAGGAGGGGACCGGGTCCTCAGCGAAGGTACCAGATGTGGCTGAGGCCCATTCCAGATATGAGAGCAAAACTTACCCATTGTGACTCATTAAGCCTTAGAAAGTCGTTTAGAGTCACGGAACCTCTGACCAAGGGTACGAGACTCGAGGAAGCAATGTTTATGGAGAGGGATTTTGGTTTATCTCTCGTTGAGGTTGGAGATATTGCTGACCTCGTCGAGGTCGGCGATTGGTGATATTTATGGCATGTATTTTCAAGACTTGTCATTTCGTATCAAGAGTATGTATTTTATGAGCATGTATACTATGCTTCCGCAAGAGTATAATATGTATCTAATCCCTTACTCAAAAGACCTACTTGTATGATTTATTTGGTCTGAAATGTTGGAAACACTTAAAAATTACTAGATGAGAGTATCATCTGCATATTGGATGGAGATAAGAGACCACATGACCACTTCTTGTTGCATGGGGCCCCTTAAGTATTCCATTGTGAACAATATTATTAAGCATTATACTAAAGGATTATCCCACTCCGGTGTACAAGAAGGGTGACAAAGGATCTCCTTGCCTAAGGCCTCTCGAGGACTTAAAGTAGCCGACTGATTTGCCATCAATCAAAATAGAGAGAAGTGTAGATGAAATGCACCATTCGACCCCAAAACCCATGAGTTCAATAAATTTTTTTAAGTAATCCCATTCCACTCAGTCATAAGTTTTTTCAATCAACCTTATACAAAACCTCCTGAGCCCCGTCCTGAAATTTAGAGTGGATCATCTCTTAAGCCAATAAAATACTTGTTATTGTCAAATGATCAATAATGAAAGCGGATTGTGGTCATGTGCAATGTTAAAAAATGCGACTGATTTTTCAAAAATGGCCTGACTAACTAGGAGTTGGTCGGGCCATTTTCATATAGTCAACTAATTGACTGTACTAGTAGGTTGGTTTTTGCACTAATCGGTAATTTGTTGTAAAGATCGGCTGATTTATGCAACATAGCGTACAGAAGCAATCTTTCGCTAGCGAGTTATGACCGTCTGTTAAGATGAACGGTGATCCATGCAAAAAAAAAGCCACTTGTTTGTGGCTTTCAAATTCTACCGAAACATTAAACGAAATTTTGAGAACGAAACCAAATTTTCAAAGGGCTTCTCTCGCTCACTCTCTCATTGCGGTGGAATAAAATAGGGAAATTGTAAAAACCCCCTAAAAATGGACTTTTTACGTACTTTACCCCACCCAACTTTTCCTATACATACCCCATACCAAAGTTCTTTTTTTTTTGACAAAAATACCCTTCCCTCACATAACAAATTATTTTCGTTGGAGAGGGTGGTCCAGAATTTTGAACAGGCGGTCCGGTGACTATCCTTACTGGAATGGCCGTTCGGTGTGTCGTGGTGGCAGTCCGGCGATTATCTTTACTGGAATGGGCGGTCCGGCATGTCATGGTGGCGGTCTAGCATTTCATGGTGGCGGTTCGACGTGTCATGGTGGCGGTCCGACGTTTCATGGTGGCGATCCGGCATTTCATGGTGGCAGTCCGACAATTATTTTTTTTGTTGGGATGGGCGGTCTAGCGTTTTGAAGTTGCGGTCCATCATTTTGAAGGGGCAGTTCGGCGTTTTGATATGGTGGTCTGGTATTTTGAAGGGGCAATCCGGCGTTTTGAAATAGCGGTCTAGCATTTTGAAGTGAGCAGTTCGGCGTTGTACGACAGCTATCCCGTGTTTTATTTTATTGAGATTCGAAAATGATTTGTTACACGAGAAAAGGGTATTTTCATTAAAAAAAAAAAGAAAGAAAAAAAAGTTTTTTGTATCGAGCAATGATTTCATGCAATCGTTGTATAGTAATATGATGCAACAACCTTAAAAAGCCATATTGTGGCCATTTGATTGATCTAAAATTTGAAATATACATTTTTTACATTTTAATGAACAATCACAAAAAAAAAAAAAATGAAAATACATATTAAAAAGTATTTTTTTAGCCCAATTAACATATGCCTATTATTTCGGTGAGATGCTTAGATCTAAGACTTAGAAAGATTTTTTCATTTTCAATTTTTTTGTATGGTTTTTTATTATTAACAATGTTAAAAAAGGAAAAATGATTTTGAGGTTAAGGTTAAGATTTTGAAATTCACAAAATGAATAGTATAAATTCGTTTTATAAAAAGACTTATTTTGACCATATTTAAGGTTGAAATTGATCAATTATTTTTGAAGGGATTAATTGATGAGATGAAAAAAGCGTGTGCGAAAATTTTGAGGTTATACAAATAGCACAAACATTAATTTTAGAAATGTCGTTCCATCCGTTGCATTGGATTTTTTCTCCCTTTGTATGAGGGGCATTGGCTAGGAAACATAATTTTTTTTTGTATAAAGGTATTTTGCTGGGAAACATAATTTTGTGTGGGAAGTTGCTAGAAAAGCTAATTTCAAAGCAGAGCTGTGCAAACCAGGCGCCCTCTTCCTCATGCAACTCGCACTACACTCTCGTGCGCTCTGGACTCGGACCATCTTTCTCTGGATCTCCTTCCTCACTCTCTACAGGTACGCTGTCTCTGGGGCTGATTTTTCAGTTTCTTCTCCTCTCCATATCTTGCTAATTTTTTGGGCATATTTTCAGTTTATCAGTTTCTTAATCGCTCTTTATCTCGAAAAATTTGTGAGTATGTTTATTATTTGCCCTATCTCTCTCTATTTTCTGCTTCTCTCTCTATCTCGATAAATTTGTGGGCGTATTTTTCATTTAACAATTTCTCTCTCTATCTCGATAAATTTGTGGGCATATTTTTCAATTAACAGTTTCTTTCTCAATCTCGATAAATTTTGTGGGCATATTTAGCATATAGCCGTTTTTTAGGTTTTTCCTATATATATATATAATTTTCTCTACTAGTAATCCTCAATCATGTATAAATGTGGTATGGAGGTCAATGAAGGTCATTTAAATTGGTTGGATTGCGTCTGTGAAGTTTCTGATGGTGTCTCAAATGTTCCATATGTTATTTGCTTTACCAATACGATGTTTCCTTGTTTGAGAATGACAACTCTCCTGGTCGACCTGGAGAATTTTTGTCAGAAATTTGATTTCGTATTTAAAAGGTCAATTGGGCATAGTTTTGGAAAATTTTCACAATCAGGCAATTCGAGGTATATCAACCTCATTTGTTCCACTGGAATTTGAATTGTTTTTTAATTTTTAATCGTTTGGGAATAAGGTATAATGACTTACATCTTGAAGACGTTCTGTTTTTTTGAAAGAGATGGTTTTTGACCATTTAGAACTTTTTGGCATTGAAATCTTTTCTGCTTTTTATACTTGCATTGGGTCCATCATTGACTGGAAAGCTGGGAATGATGTTCTTCTTGAGTTCCAGGTTTCTCGTAGAGAGCTACGTATCCTTTAGATGGCCAATTGTCCATAGTTTTCTTTGAAGTTTGTAACCTGATATATGTGTTTATGACTCTTTGTAGATAAAATTTCACAAATAGAAATCCTAAAATTCCTATTATCACATCTTTATACATGGGTCAATTTTATGCTTGTTGTTTCTATTGATAGGGTTCATTCTCTTAGACAAATAAATGGATGACTCGGACACATGGATGACAAATACATGGGTCAATTTTATGCTTGTTGTTTCTATTGATACGGTGTATTAAGAATCATATACAATAAGAATTCATAGTCATCTTTAGCTATTAAACAACAAATCAAAGAGCTTGAAATCTAATGGGAGATGATTGTGACCTTGTTGCCAATGATATACGTATATGATAGAAAAAGAAAGGCAAAAAAAAGGAATAACAGAAACTCATAGTGATACTAACCCGACGGGATAGATTTGGGTATGGGTCCAACTTTTGAATTTGACGGGTCGGGTCTGGGTCCAGGTCCAAAACCTGGACCCGAATAATATATTCTAATTGTTTTGGTTCTATCTTTAAGTGGCATGCAAAGTGTGGTGATACAAATGAATGAGTAGATCCAGGATCAATAAAAACATGAGCTACTTTTTGGAAGATAATAAAAATACCTTAGATCACTGATTTTGAGGCTTGAGCGTTTTGCTGGGTGATCGCAAATACTCTTCCCTTTATCTGAGGCTTTTGAGCTATCTCTCCCTGCTTTGGAAGCTGTTGCATCTGTAAGCTAGGACATGCTCTAATCTAGTGCCCCAATTTTTCACATTTAAAACAGGCTTTAGTATTTCAATAACAAGGGCTCGATCCATATTTTTTCCCACATTTTTTACATGATTCTATTGAGCTTTGAAGTGGCAAGGGCTTTGGCTTCTTGTTTGCCCTTTCAAACTGTTGTCGAGTCGATGGTGTGGGTTTAACCTGACTTTTCTGATTTTTCATCTTTTGGTAATCTTCGAAATCTTTTCCGACAATTTGGGCTCGATTCACTATTTCTGCATAAATTCTCAATTTTAAGACTGATATTCTGCTTCTTATAGCTGGTCTGAGATTCCTTTCAAATTTTTTCACCTTTCTTGCCTCATTGTTAATCATACGTGGTGCAAACCTAGCCAATTCAGTAAACTTGGCCTCGTACTGTGTTACTGTCCGGTTTCTTTGGATTAATTCAAAAAATTCCATTTCTTTTTGGTCTCGAATAAAATATGGGAAATACTTTTCATTAAATGCCTCTAGAAATACTTCTCAAGTCAAGGGTTTATGGACCAATACTCCTTTTGCCATTCGCTACCAATGTTGTGCTTCACCTTCTAACATAAAAACTGCCAAGGCCACCTTCCTATCATCAGGACATTCCATTACCTCGAATATTTTCTCCAATTGCATAATCCATCCCTCGGCTTCCATTGGGTTTGCAGTACCTTTAAAAGAAGGTGGATTCAATTTCTTAAATTGTTCGATGTTACTCCCACCATTTCCCGTAACTGACTGCCTGGGTGGATTGTTGTTTTCCATCTGATGTTGCATTGGAGCAGCCATATTTTCCAAGGCTTTGTGAATTCCTTCCATATTAGTTTCAGCTATTCTGGATCTTGACTTCGTCCTGGTCTGTACGCGCAACAAATGTGATTTTAAGTATGTTCTTTTTAAATTTCCTAAGAATATTAAACCTATTGCTTTGATACCATAGTTGTCATGCCTTAAGAATTTACAATACTGATGTTTCTGAGATGTGACAGTCAAAACATATATACATCTCTTTTTAGGACAAATTTACAATGGTGAATTCTTACAAAGTAACAAATAAAATTTAAGCACAACTACAATATCTTCCAGAGTTGATCCTGACGAGCACTCAAAATGAAACTGTAGTTATCCTGAAAAACAATGTTTACCATAATTTGATGAGTTTGGCTACTCAGTAAGTGATCATCATAATCCTAAAAATAATCATGGTTGAAAGATATCAATATTTTCAAAAAGGAGATCTATTAACAGAAATGCATTAACGGTTTCACTTTAAAAAATGCATAATATAGTATAATCCGAATAATTGAAATGCATATAACATTTTAAGGGCAGTGTATAATTCAAAGGATTTCACAAATTACCCTACCGACGTCCCAAGTAGGTCACTTATATACCCCATCAGCGTCCTGATAGGTCCACTTAATCCCTATCGGCGTCCCAGATAGGTCCACTTAATCCCTGTAGGTCCACTTATACCTCACCGGCGTACCGGATGAGTCCACTTAATCCCTACCGGCATACCAGATAGGTCCACTTATATACTTAAAATATTTCTAAATCTCTTTAAACATTCGAAAGCAGCAATATCATGTACTCAACATATCACTAAAATTATTAATATGAATTTCACTGAAACCATGAATAACAATCACGTTCAATAATAATTCAAAAATAACCAGTCAAATATTTTGGCCTCAAATTTAGAAAGGTAGCAGTTCGTAAAGACATTCTAGCATAATTGCCAATCTAATATGTATAGAAAAACTCTTATAGAAATTCAAGAATACGAAATTATCACAATTTATGGGATGTCAATTCGCAAATAAATATTGTACAGACAATGCTATAATCAATTGCAAAAATATCAGTTTTCAAATAATAAGGCAGTCATTTGCATATGAAATTTACAATGTCTTAATATTAAAAAACAGTAGAAAGAAATCTCACAATTTTACTAAAAGCAGAAATATCACATTATTTTTAATAATTTTACAGTATCTAAAATTTTCTAACTATAGACAAGAAAATAAATAAATTTATTTCTAAGAATTTACAGCATTTAAAATTTCTAACATGGATAAAATATCACAATTTTATTAAAAAGATTATTTTTCAAAATAATGAGGTCGCTTGCGCATAAAATTTATCGCTCCTAAAATTCATGATAATAAGCAGAAGTAATTACTTCATTTAATTTTTAGAAAGAACGGATTATTTCTCAAGATAATGAAGTCACTTACCTATAATATTTGAGTGTTTGAGTGACACTTTCGGTAAAATTTGGCTAGAGAGAGAAAAAGCTCACTGCGTTTCGATTGGAGAGAGAAAGATCTCAGTGTGTTGGGGGAGCTTATACAAAAGTTTTCTTGGGTGGGAGTCCTCACCTCTCCTATTTAAATTCTTAATGAATCCAGAAGAAGTGATCCAATTTTTTTAATCGTGTTTGGGTGGAGACCAAAGATCTTGAAAACCTCATGCTAGGGGACATTGATACCCCATAAAAAGACCCACTTATCTAAGGAAAGAAAGAAAAAAAATGAAAGAAAAAGCCATGTAGTTTCAATTTGACAGATCAAGCCTTACAAAACGAAGTCTTACCTTAACTAAAAAAAGAAACTGAAATAAAATTCAAATATATAGAAAATTATATAATATAAATAATATGAGTAAAAATTGGAATGAGGTTTTACTTTTTCCTGTTCTTGTAAAAAAAACGTGCACCAGAGGGAATCCATTTCGTCATATTATAGTGATGGTTCGTGAATGAACAATAGAGACGAACATGTAAAAGATTGTTGGGATCTTGTTAGAACATTATATTGACAATTCCAAAAAACTATTCATATTATAATAATAATACCATGGCAATGGGTGGTATGCCCCCATTGTCTAGTGGTTTAGGAGTCATGATATCTCCCTTTCAAGGAGGCAACAGGGATTCAACTTCCCCTCAGGGTAAGGTAATGTACTATGTTAAGGAAGTTAATCCTGGCTTATCAAAAAGTCTAGAATTGCAAATATATTTTTCTTTTCATTGATCGCAACAAACAAAACAATCGAATGAGTTCAAATGATCTATTATTTATTTTTGTTATATGTTTGCTACTCTACAAACAAGAAGAGTTAAAAAAAAAAAAGTTGTTATAATGTCATTTATACGTGTTGCAAATACTTCAAAATAATAATGTTGTATAACTATTGGGGTGGGAACAAATAATTCAAGAAAAATTAGTAGTGTATATGTTAATGGGTTTTCATGGATAGTAATAGAAATGACGTAAACATAATAGTAGATAAATATTTAAAAAATAAAGTAGTTAATATCAAAATAATAGGTGATAGGCTCTTATGAATTAAACTTGTATTAGGAGAAG